AGTGCAGGGTCAGTGTGACGCAAAGTGCAGGGTCAGTGTGACGCAAAGTGCAGGGTCAGAGTGACGCAAAGTGCAGGGTCAGAGTGACGCACAGCGCAGAGGTCAGAGTGACGCACAGCGCAGAGGTCAGAGTGACGCACAGCGCAGAGGTCAGAGTGGCGCAGAGGTCAGTGTGACGCACAGTGTAAGGAAGAAAGAAAAGGGACTTACAGTGCACTTAGCTGGTATTCAGGTGCCTCTTCCTTCTCCTGGTGGTTGGGGGGGTTTGGGGTGGAGGTGGGTGCAGAGATCCTTCTTTTCCCTGCTAACGTGTAGTGTCCCATCTCTGGTCTCGCCGGCGGCGCTCCTCGATGAGATTCCACTCGCCCCCCCTCAATTTTCACTCGCCAATTGCGAGGGGGCGAGTGGAAATTTTGAGGCCTCGTACTACAAGATCCAGCATTCCATGCACAATGTATTACGGGACCCAGCATGTCATGACTGCTGCACAATGTACTACAGAATCCAGCATGTCATGACAGTTGCACAATGTACAACAAGATCCAGCATGCCACGGCACCCAGGGCCGGATTTCCCACAAGGCCAACCAATGCCCGGCCTCGGGGGAGCAGGGAGTAGAGGGGCAGCAGGGGTGCGGAATTCCTATCTCCCGATGCCTGGGACATGCAGTTCCGGGCGCCGGGTGGGTAGTTGTTTTCTACATTTAGCCCTTCTTTGGGCAAGCAGAACTAAATGTACAGCGGGGAAGCTGACGCTTGTTTTGTACAAGTGATCTCGGTGATTTTGCAGAGATCACTTGTATGCAGCCTGCAGGTTTGCCATTCTCCATGGGGGGGTTGGCGGGTAGGGGGCGCATTGAGGAACCTGACCTTGGGGCAGCAGAGAGAGTAAATCCGGCCCTGATGGCACCTGCACATTGTACTACAAGATCCAGCATGCCATGCACAATGTACTACGTGATCCAGCATGTAATGACTGCTGCACAATGCACTACAGGATTCAGTATGCCATGACAGCTGCACAGTGTACTACAAGATCCAGCATGTCATGACTGCTGCACAATGTACTAGAAGATCCAGCATGCCATGGCACCTGCACAATGTACTACAAGATCCAGCATGTCATGGCACCTGCACAATGCACTACAAGATCCAGCATGTCATGGCACCTGCACAATGTACTACAAGATCCAGCATGCGATGACAGCTGCACAATGTACTACAAGATCCAGCATGCCATGGCAGCTGCACAATGCACTACAAGATCCAGCATGCCATGGCAGCTGCACAATGTACTACAAGATTAAGCATGCCATGGCTGCTGCACAATTCATTCATATACCTGCTGCTGAACGAACTGTAAGACCCAGTACGTCATGCCGCCATATTTGTGGAGCTACTATAGCCAGTAATGACCATGCCTCACCACGAGTGCCTCATTTCATGTGCCACTCACCTAGGTGAAGAGGTTGCCTGCTGCTTTCAGGTATGGGTTGTGTTTTAGCCACCAAGTCCTGGCAGCTGAGGGTGTTGGGGGACTTTCTATGTGTGTATGGTGGTGAGGTTAAGGTAGCCTACAGAGCACTGCTGGGTGTGGGTGGAGTTTATTTTAGGGCTGAAAACAGGCGTGGGTAGTTTTGAGGGTAAGACTGACCTAGAGCTTTGGCAGGTGATGGTGCTGAGAACATGTTCAGATGTGGGTGGTATTAAGAGTAAACTTGGCCACAGAGGCTTGGCAGGTGAGGATTGGGTTGAGGATAAGCCTGGACAGTGGTCTGGGTGGTGTCAATGGTTAGAGTGCCAACACAGTCTTAGCAGCTGAGGTTTTTAGAGTCTTGTCATGTGTCTGTTTGATGGTAAAGGTGGTCATAGGTGTGGGTGGTTTTGGGGTAGGGGTGGTCACAAAGCCTATTTAGGTGAGGTAGAGGCAATTGGACTGAGTGTGAGAAGAGGTGGCCAGAGAACCTTGGAAGAGAAGGATGTTGAGGGTAAGAGTGCCAACACTTCCTTGGAAGGTGAGGGTGTTCAGTGCCGTGTGTGATGTAAGTGGGGGTTTGGATAAGGGTGGCCAGATGTGGGTGGTGTTGTGGGTAAGGATGGCCAAAGTTTCTCATTAGGTGTGGGTGGTGATTAAGTTAAGGCTTGCCATGTGAAAGGGATGTTGTTAATAAGGATGGTCATAGTTGTGGATGGTGTTGGGGTACGTGTGGCCACAGAGCCTAGGTAGATTATGGTGCGGAGGGCCTTGTAATTCCCATAGTAAAAATATAAAGTTATTATCCATATATCTGAATGTAAACCCAAAATGGCAGGCCTAAAGGCAGAGACATTTGGATCAGACATGGATGTAGTAGGGGCCGACTGGCTCCACAAGAAGGCCATGCATGACAAAGCTGTGTTAGGGTCACATACAGCAGAGGCACATCTGCAATTGGCCAGTGAAACCAACCTATCCAGCCACAGCATGCAGAGGAGGTCATTGACTGGCCTGTACCATTTTCTTCTTCCCTGGCCAGGTGCAGTTAGTATTCAGGCAGCGTTGTTATTGTGCCCTCTTCCTCCTTCCTTCCTTCCCAGACAGCGTGAATTGAGTTATGTTCGTTCAGGCTTGGATCACTGAGCACTTCCTTATGCCAATGATGCCAATGATTAGCTGGTGTATTGTGTATTTCACTTATAATAGCACATCTTTTATGTTGTGTAAGTTCTGCTATCTATTACATGGAAAATACCAAACTCTTATCCCTCCCTGCTCCTGACACCTACGTAAGAATTATTGCTGCTGCAAAGCCCTGACCTTCCTCCTTCCTGGTACCATTCCTCCTTCCCTTAGCAAAAAAAAAAATTAAATAGGGCTAAAGTTCCCATTTTAAAGGAGACACCTCTCTGTGACTTCCATTTTTGTATTTAGGCCTGTTGGCAATGCCATCACAACCCGCTTCTTTTGCCTAATTTTGCCCATCAAAAACTAGGGGTCTGTTGCGTGAAAATATATTGAAAACAGCCACCCGTGCCTTGTGACCCTGCATTTAGGCCTGTGCACTCTGATATCAGACTGTGGTACGGTACCCATGACAATATTTACTCAATATTTACCCAATATTTACCCAAAATAAACAGCTGTAGCTCTATTTTTTTAGGAGGATGGCTGCCTGTGCCAATTTTTCCCCTCCTGTACCTAAAGGTTGTAGTTCAAAATCTACTGCATCCTGTGTCTTCTGTCTCCCCATTTAGTCCTGTTTACGTTAGCTTCAAACTGTGGTGCCACTGGCCAATTTTTACCCAGGCATACCTGAGGGCTGTAGCTTCAGTTTTTGTCTCAGAAAACAATAGGGATATCGAGATAATGGAGCCATTCATTGTTTGGGTTTTTTGGGGGGGTTTTTTGCACACGGTTTTATACTTTTTTAACCATTTAAAACCATGCAATGTGTTGTTGATGTAACATTTACCTTACACGCTGTGCCACAAGCTGAAGTGGTTTGTAAGTCAGGGATTAGGACACCTGTGGGGGTTTTATTGCTGTCTATGTCCACATTAGGGAGATTGGATACCATTATCACTAAAATAGATGAAAAATCTTATAATGGGGACACTAGTTCTGATGACCCTACTGACCACCAGAGATTTCCTTCACTTTGGGAGGATTTTTCTTACTTCCTTGTAGTGGCTAATAAACAGGAAGTGAAGGGAATTATTCTTCTGCT